GCTGGGGAATTCTGGGAGTTGAAGTCCACCCATCTTAAAGTTGTTGAGCTTGAGAAACCCTGTTTTAGGGAACATACTGGTTTGATGCGCTGCGGGAAAAATGGAAAATACCCGGCATTTTCCATATCCCTTTGGCCATCTTCTCATTGAGGAACACTCAAAGAACTGCCCAGGAACCAGCAAATTCTAGAACCAGAGTCTGAAATGTACTGAAGTAGACCAATAGCATCCAGCTGTGGTTACAAAGGAAAATTCCAAATTTCTAGGCAGTCATGTTAACATCCCCTCTAAAATCTCACCTTAATGATCTTGTCTTCACAGGTGGAATTCTCTCTGGGCAAGTCACAGTCTTCTTGCTTATTAGCAATGGCCATTCCAGTGGTGCAGTGTAGCTCCTCCAGCTGACTCAGGCAGCACTGCTCCTGGGCTATCCTACAGGGGGAACAGGACAGAGGAAGCTCCGGGGTCAACTCCACCAGGGGCAGCGTTGCAAGGTTCTCATTGCTCAAGCTCCAGCTTTATTGGACAAACCTTCAGGAGTGTAGACATTATCCTAACCACGGTGCTGCTGAGAAGTCCCAACATCTGCCCTCAGCAGGTTTGACATCCTGGTTTAGAGTAGACTGACATCCAGGTATCCTGCTTAACCATATCCGTGTAAAACAGGTGACATATAAGGCTGATCTACAGAAAGGACCTCTCTTGTTGCCCACTATTTATGGACCCACCTCCTTGGCTTGGTAAATTAAGTATTTTTTCCCATGTAGGGCTGTGCAATACTTCAGGTTCAGTGTGGAACAAGTGATTCAGAACACATGGAAGCAGCAACACAAAATGGGGTTACAGCTTATTAAAACAACTGGGTCTTTTTCCAAGATTCCATGGCAGGACAGGACACTTTCAGCTGCACCTGAGATCCTGGAGAAAGACGAGGCTGCTTTGATCAAACCCAGAAGGTGCTACATTTGGAAGGACCTCTTTCAACTCAAATCTGAAACACTGCACACCCCACTAAAACAATTGAAAAGCAAGTTGTCAGAGACCTCTGAAGAAACAGAATGGGCTTTTCTTTCACTGTTCTCTGGATTTTCACAGAGCAAAAAAAGTTCTGCTGTCTACTTCCTCAGAGTAATATGCAAATCTAGAACTCATTCATCTTTTCTTCTATCCCCTCCACAGGGCACATGCTTAAAATGAGCAAGAATTTCCTGATGGAAAGTAAGATAGAGTTCTCCAAATTCTTTTAGCCCCATTTAAAAAAAAAAAAACTATTACAAGATCAAGTTAGAGATTAAGAAAATGTTAAGAAGAAAACTCATCCTCTGTTCTTTGCGGCTGCACCGTTGTAAGTTGGGAGTTTTCTCACTAAACAAGGAAGCTGTGCTAGCCTGTTATTTAGATATTAAATAC